TATATACAGGGTTACTCATAGAAACCAAAATAATTACCCTGATTTTACCCATACGAAATAATTACGCGACCCTATTATAATATATTGTTGCAATATAACCATATACTCTATATATTATAGTATACTCTTACAGTATATTGTGATATAGTAACAGTATACTGATTGTTAACTGTGTTTTTATTTAAATTTATGTTAAAATTGTAGATTATTATAGTATATCATTCCGGTATATATGTATACTATTACAGTATACTGTTGCAGTATAACTGTATGCTCTTACAATATATTTTGATACCGTGGCGGTATACTGTTAGGTAAATGTGTATTTATTCAAGTTTCAGCTGAAATATTGCATATTATTACAATATATCGTTTTGTTAGCTCTTTTATTAATTAAAAGAATCTTATTTTATTTTATTTTTTCTTTGTCATTAGATTGTGTATTATATAGTAAGTCATAGTAATAATAATCTTCAGAGTTAGATAATCGCAGTATGTGGTCAAGGGCGGACTTTCAGATACGAGTTCGATTGAATCTATAACTTCCGATACAGTGTATGAATTTATATGTAAGAACCTAATAAAATCTCAACAAGTACTAGATTTGAACCCATAATTTTAACAGTATAACGAGTTCAATGTTAAAATTAAAAGTTGAACCCATTAAATTTAAATCCTGGATCCGCCTCTATATGTGGTTGAAGAGTTAACTTATCCATGGAGTTCATTAACGAGACATTTTGGATCAGGGGATCTTGATCTATGAATGCATGAAAAAGAGTACAAAGATGCTCCTGAAGCCTTCAAAGTTCAAACAAAAGCACATATGCTGAAAGAGATGAATAACGTGCTATGTAGGAATAAACAGGAGAGGGAAAACCCAAAAAGACATAAAGTAATCACTGGAAGAAAGGAAAAGTCAAGGAAAAGTTAGGATAAATAGAAAGAAAAAAACAGGAAAGAGAAAGCACAAAAAGACAAAGAGTAATTAATGGAAAAAAGGGAATGTCAAGGGAAAGTACGAGTAAATATTTTTAACCGCATAGATATATTATATAAAAAGTTTGAAGCGGGTAATTAGTTTCTCCCAAATGGGCATTTTGAGTAGATTTCCCAACTTCATGTGCTAACAAAATTAGTGGACCATCTATTTATATACCTTGGCCCAATTCGAATTTGTAATCCAGATCAGCAGAACAAAGTTCCAGTTGTCACCTACAACACCATCATCGTTTTTAATCAGCCAAATTGCTGAGTAGAAGCTTTACCAATGAACTCACCACCAAGAATTGATCAGTAATAATTATATATATATATATATATATATATATATATATATATTTTCCCACTCTTAATCAGAGATTTTAGGTTGGAGCCTTAGGTATTGAAAAAATCCTAGTTAGAACTTAGGAGTGCTTACCCCGTTAATGGATATGCAAATCCAGGTTAATTGTGATAAAAAATGAATATCAGACACTGACTGAAAAATAAAAGAAAAATCTCCAAGTCAATCTTTTTATCCAATTTAATTGTATCTATTGCTTAAATGAGAAAAAGAGAAGTAAATTCAAATTTGTTTTTACCAAGTGATCCGAAAAGTTAGTTCTTCTAAGCCGGCTTCCCTAAAGCAACAATCCAATGAAGCATCGTGGGCAAACATATAAGGAACTACGTTTAATAGACAAATTACGGCATGTCATAGTACTAATATTTTTTATGCGTTTTTAGACACCTGAATAGTCTCAACATCCCAGTAACATTGTAGTTTTTTTAATTTTATATAAGTATCTAATTTACCCACAAAAAAAATCCAACGGAAAATTGACAAAAACAACCATGGCCCTGAGCATAATGTATTGTTTTCATAGTTTTCAGAATTTTCACAACCCACAACTTCATAATAAATTCAGAAACTTTAGAACATAATCAAAAATTAAATACGGGGGACAGCAAAAAATTATATATACAACATTTATAATTGAATAGACAGGTGGCCGGTTACTTTCCATGAGTAAAGCATAATATCGCCCACACAAAGATTATCAAAAGCTACATTAGAAGGAAGGGTTGGGCAATTGTAAATGGGTTGTATGAAATATTGCAGACCAATATACTCCTATATAACAAATAAAAAGACATATTTTCTCAAGACAAACATTATTGGACCGTTAGAAAGAATGACAATTGACAGGTTTGCAATTTATGAGTGCACTGGCTGGCCTGGATTTGAGCAATTCATTCAGGTTGTTGGCTTAAAGTGTAACAACCCTCGTTTTTATATCTTATTATAACTCTCCGAAAGCTGTTTACTGTTCTCATAAAACTCCTCACATAAAATAAACTATCAGTACTGTTATTTATAATAGTACGGAACTTATTTTAACTATAAATAAGAAAGCATATTCCTATATTAATTTCAACTACAAATTCTATATAGACATGAATTAAATAAACTTGTAAATATCAAATTTCAAATAATTTTGATTTTCTACTATAATTTTAAATTAGTTTTTCGCGGAGGAAGAAGAAAACAATGTTTACGGTATTAAAGCCCCCACTTTATGTGGAATATTCTGAAGCCGGTTAAAAGAGAAAAATATATTCCCAAAACGTTGCTTTATATCACTTGCTTTTTCTTATTTTAACTTTGAAAAGATACTATTTTTGTAAAACATAAATATGAAATGAATATTGCAAACGATATTGCTAGTCTATTTCAAAGTAGAAAAATGTTATTCTGCACAGCCTTGAGATTCTTCTATCTCTACTGGACTCTTTCTAGCACTTGAGAATAAAGGTGCACTACGTGTTCAATAATTGGATTTTTGGTTTTACATTTAATATAATTCTGGCGAAAGTTGTGTGTTAAAATTTTGTTTGACGAATATTTTTGTTTGTCTTTGAGATTTAATTTCCACAAAATATTGTGTTTGACTTTCTTAAACTAAAACAAATGTATAAACCATGTTTGAAATCTTTGATATTAAAGTAAGATAGAAATAGCATTAAATGATTCGGTTTAGTTAATTAAAATACAAACAAATAAAGAGGTTTAAAAAAAATTATTTATTACAATCAAAATCAACTATAAACAATTAATTAGGGCAAAGAAATACCCAGCAGGTTAACTGGATTAGCAAAGAATACAGGGGGGAAATGGACATTAATGAAAAATAAACAACATTAAGTGAAACTAGTATAGTATATTATAGTTAACTGGCCAAAACCTATTTACTTACTTACGCAATAAGTAGTTTTTGTTTGAACAACCGATTATAATCATGTGTATCTTATCTTAATTGTAAAAATTAAATTGAGTAAAAATTTAGGTTATTAGGAGAAAAGGGATGGCTAGCTAGCTTGTTAAGTGAACAAACAAGAAACCTTGTTATTTTAATTATTTGGAAGTCCATGCTAGAGATTACCTTGTCTTTCACAGTACTAAGATTGATGTTGAGATGCTCCACAATATGATCTTTATATTCTATAATCACTATGAGTCTATCAGATGTGCTAAGCATGAATACATGATAGTGGCCATATCTCGAATTGATTTGTTTCAAATACTAATTTTATTTTATGTTACATGTTCATTTCCACTTTATAATTTTTATGTAAATGATAGGAGTAATTGCTCCTTTTCTCTACTGACCCTTGGAACAAACAAGGTAAATCCATTCCTTTAAACTTTGTACCTAATACTTTAAACAATTGGAAACCAGAAAATAATTTCTCGAGAAATAGGAGATACCTTGGTGTCGCTCTCCTGTTTTTCCTTCCTTTTTTTTTTCTTCAAATTTTTCTTAAAGAATATCAATACTTAAAAGAGATTACAGAGAAATTTCACTTAGTTTAAGTGGAGGAGCTTCTCTTTGAAATGGAAAGAACGCCAACTTCGGGTTGAATATTTTTCTTCCTTTTTTTTTTTCAACTTCTTAATTATTCTGATTGAACTAAGACACACGTTGATTAACTTGGAGTCGCGCGAAAAAAGAAATCATACTTTTCTTCCAGTAGATTAGCTACCTTCTATATATCTCTCTAACTTTTAGAAAAGTCTACTTTGTTTTAGCTGAGTAGCTATTTCACATTTTATCTCAGGTAACTACACCTCCATGTTTGCTTTATTTTGTGAATTGTGATCGAGGATTATAGTTCGTTTATGCATCTAAATTCGAAATGATTTACCCGTCCTTCTGTAAATACCATATTTAAATTGCTAGGTCCGGACTAGTGGCATGTGTCAAGTACGTTCTCATTTAAGAATGTCGCACATTCATATTTAGCTTCTCATTTTATCTAAATTTAAGTAGTCTCAAGATGATCTTCACGAATAAAACAACTTATCATTAAATTTGGAATTTGACCTATCCTCTAAGTGCAAAAAAAAAAAAGTGAACTATTATAAGATCACTTAAAAATCAATTATTTGCATTAAGGATGAATCAGTAGTGACATAAAAAATATGAGAATTAACCTACTATTACAGAGTGCGAAAGTTCTTTATATTATGAGTGTAATATTGGAGAAGCATTAACCTATTTTTGAAGACATGAATAGAAGAGCTATACATGGAAGTTGCAATAGGGAATCGTCGTAACTTTTTACGTACTCCCTCCGGTCCAAAATAAGTGATTTTTTAGATGTTTTCACACAAATTAAGAAATCCACCTTTTAGCATTAATTAGTAATAGAATTGACCATATTAACCTTTACTATCTCACATAAACACTCCTAACACATATTCCAACACCATTTACTTCAAGGACAATGTAGGAAAAAAATAATTAATTCATTCTTGAAATCTGAAAAAATCACTTATTTTGGACCACAAAAAAAAGGCCAAAAAATCACTTATTTTGGACCAGAGGGAATATTATTTTTGACCTACAAATTTACGGGAATTATAACAATTCAAGGATTTATTTTGTGACCTTATATATTCAACGGTCCAAAATACAGTAATGACCAAATTCCTTCAGCTTTCACTCTTTCCACTCTGCTCTCCTACCTAGACTTATTCCACAAGGCATAACATGCACTCCCACGCGCACGCGGAAATTTATTCCTACACAATAACATTCCAATCTAGCCCCCATATTTGACTTTCCTAAAATACCCCTGCCCACACCTTAAATACCAAGATACTATTCTCCCTGTTACTGCAAACTTCTTTTTCTCACCAAACTCTGTTTTTTTTTTCTTCCAAACAAGAAATTCCAAAAAAGAGACAACAATGAAAGCTGGTGTCTATTTGTTCTCATTCAGGAGGCTTAACAAGAAGGGTGTCGCCGGAACTGTTGGTTCTGAAGTGGGTAGCGCCGGAAATCATCATCATCAACTTCATGATTCCTTAACTCAGACACTGCCGCCGCGGCCGTCGTCGTTGCGGTGGCGATTCAAGAATCTGTCAAGTGGGTTGAGGTGGAAGAGTAAGAGGCTTTATAAATTGAGATACTGGATCGTTGACTGCCTCCTCTTCAAGATTGTTTCTGTCTTTGAAGCCATTTTTCTTGTTTCCACCTTGGCTTTTTTCTACCTCTGCTGCGGCTGCCATATCTAAATTCTTCCATATTATTTATTATAGATTTTCCTCCTTTTTGAGCCTTTCTTTTTACTAAGTTGATGGAGCATATTAACAGCTGGGAAGTGGAATTCTGAAAAGAAAGTTGATATCTTTGTGGGAGGGCCCGGACAAGAGATTCGTTGGAGGAGCTAGCTCATGGCTAATAATGCTGAATGGGGTGAAAATTATCATTAGATGTCTCTTTTCTTTCTTCTATTTTCTGGTTGAATTTTGTTGACGTTTTGTAATGTATAGAGAAAGTTAATGTACTAATTCGCATTACTAACTTAGAGATTCTTTTGTATGTAATGTAATCTTAATATCTTATTGTTCTTTTCTTTAACTACTAGTCCTTAATTAGATTTCTTCTCTTTCTTGTTCTTCCTTACTCTCTTGGCCAGTACGCAAGCTTTCTTACTTAATTATATATGAGTTTCTCTTTTCTGGTCTCAAATCTCAATAGGGGAATTTTGGCTAATGATATCCTAATTAGTTTCTTTCATCTGGTATTATAAATTACTCCTAATTGGCTATATATTAATGATAAATTTTGACAGGTTGTTGAATGTATTCTCAACCACTGTACAATTTGAAAATGACGAAGCAATACTATAGTAGTAGATAGTAACGGTATGAGCAAATATATAGAAATTATATTCAAACGTCTAAGGTATGACCTAGTGATTAGGTAATATATTTCCCTCTGTGAAAGCTTGATGTGCAATTTTACTTGGTATTTCTGCTGGTGGAGGTAACAAATTTGGGGGAAAAAGGTTCATTTAGACATTAAGTCCCCAAAAAAAGTTCTAATCCTTTTTTCTTTTAAGTTTTTTCTCGGATCCTTCAAGACAGTGGCGAAGCTAGGAATTTCTTTAAGGGTGTTCAAATTTAAAAAAAGTGAAAAAAATTTACGACAAAGGGTGTTCAATATGTGTTATATATCTCTAAAACGTAATATTTTACCTACGTACACAGTACAATTTTTCGACGAAAGGTGATCAGTTGACCACCTTACAAGCATGTGGCTTCGCCACTGCTTCAAGAGCTAAAGTAAAATGTACCCCTATCCATTTGCAATTGGTTATTATAATGACGGTTAAGTAATTAGTTTAACATTAATTACTTTATTATTTGTCGAAAACCGGCAAAATCATTTTTTCTAACCTTTTGTATTCTAAAGTAATAAAATAAGCCTAAAGTGGATGACATTCCAGACAAGTTGTAATGAACTTAGGACAAATTTTTGGGATGTACGTGACTTTGATTTTTACCTTGTTTTTTCCTCCTCGTTTCCACTTTTTAATAAGTACCTAATTTTGCAGCTGCTGGATGTGTAGGCGGTACTAAATATGTGCTTTACATGTAAACTTTTATCGTTAATAAATCATATTTAAATGATATGTATTTTTATTTAATATCTGACTCCAACATTAATTGTTTGACTTAATTAGTGTAAATATTGAATTGGATAAATTTAGTTTGGTGAAGGACTCTAACATCAACTGAAAAGAGAGTTGTACCCGTGCCAATGAAACGAAAGAGAAACACTTCGTGCGAGGATGTTCTATATGCATTGGAAGCTTCTTAGGAGAAAAAGGGTTTTTAAAAATAGAAATATTGAACGAATTCGTTAATCTAATTTTTGTTGGTTGTATTTAATTGATATCATATACTACCAAACAATCGTTTTCTTCAGTAAGATGTGGTCTATAGACAACACATGCGATCAATTTAACATAGAAATTCGCTATTTACAAAGTTTTTGATCTCCCTCTATTAATTGTAATAGGAAATGACGACAACTTTTTATTTGACATGAACATAAAGTCTTTAACGGTAAAGTTCGGTAGAAATTATGATGACTTACTTTGAGACACATCTACTCTTACGTGACAACACCAACAACACCCAGTATTATCCCACACCGTGGGGTTTGGGGAAAGTAGTGTCTACGCAGAACTTATCCCGGTTTGGGAATAGTAGTGTGTACGCAGAACTTGCCCCTACCTTATAAGGATAGCGAGGTCGTTTCCAATAGACTCTCGGGTAAGAATAGCATAAGCACCACATTAATGAAAATATAGACAACAAGGGACAGTATCAAAAAGTCATATAAAAGCAGAATAAAAACAACAAGATAGTAAGGTAATCAACAACAAAAGAAAACAACGGTTAGTCATAAAAACCTACTACCAACAGAACGCGAGACTGCGGGCCAATACTACTGTTATGAACACTCTAGACTACCTATTCTACTACCTTAATCCTTAACCTCCATACCTTCCTATCAAGGGTCATGTGTCTTGCCTAATCACCTCTCCCCACCTCTTCTTTGGCCTACCTCTACCTTTCCGTAGGCCCTCCAATGTCAACCTCTCACACCTCCTCACCCGGGCGTCTGTGCTCCTCCTCCTCACATGACCAAACCACCTAAGCCGTGCTTCCCGCATCTTGTCCTCAATAGGGTCCATACAACATCTTTGGTCTGACCACCACTCTGTAGAACTTACCCTTAAGTTTCGGTGACACCTTCTTGTCACACAAAACACCGGAAGCGAGTCTCCATTACATTGATCCCACCCCAATACGTTGTGTGACATCTTCATCAATCTCCCCGTATGAAAATAATACAATTCTAAGCTCCGGCTGTCTACTCTACAAGGAATGATTACATCTACTATTTGTCAAAAAATGCTTAAGATATATATTATCTTAACATTTTTTATTATAGAAGGTTGTAACTTTACGCGGTATGTCTTTTTTACGTAATTAATAATTATCTAAATTATATTATCGAAAGTTTTTGATGTCCAAATTCGTACTTTTTACTTACCATCATATATTTCTAAATTTTATTATCGAAACGGTAATATATATGCTTGAGGCAAAGATTCACTTTAGAAGTTTCTTTAAAAGGAGAGTAATGAGGTTGGACCAGTTCAGCAGCCATATATAATTCTTTGTGATATATGTGGGGTTACATTAACACTTGCCAATTGAACGGTCATATGTATATACTACTCAAACATGCCATTATATAGCGCAACGGCCATCTAGAAAAAGAGCAAATTATGGCTCTTCATATATTAGTGCAAACAAATGACAGCTAAGTATGACTTGAATTAAGGTGTCTCCTCTCTGGTACAGTATAGTCCTCTGATATTACGTTTTAATAAAACAAAGAAAGAGAAAAGGCCAGACTTGTTGTTCACGTTTAATTGTAGGGTAGTTTGGTTTTAGAATACGCAAGCACGTAACGTTCATTTAGAATCAACTAAGAAATTTTACTTTTACTATTTGGCTTCAAGTTTCATATTTGGAAATGGAGAAGATTTATTTATTTTTGTTTGGCTCAAAGATGATATTATTGTTGTAGATCTAGTATTGCAAAGTGGTAATATGAACTCAATAAGATATGTTCGTTTGAGGTAGAGATAGAGAGAGAAAGCCAGAAAATGAGAGAGTTGTATTAGATCAGAATCCCCCCTTTCTAGGGTTTCCTCTCTTGGTATTTATAGCTGTGAGCTTCGTGAGCTGGCAATAAGTGGCCGTGACCACGTTGGGATTTCGCCTTCATGGTGGTGGATGGGCCATGGCCTTGCTGATCGAATCAGATGCGGGTTGAATATCGTAATTCTGAGTGGTCGTGCCACTAATTAATCATGAATTAGCTTAAGACGGAATTAGCTTCGTTAATTATCGTGGGGTCGGATTCTGACCCATACAGTTAGTCCCTCCGCTTATTGAGGTCGTGTTTCGGCCGAGCTCGATGAGCGGACTTCATCGATTGTGATTTGAAAAAAACTCGAATAAGGGGGTCGACTTATTGACGACGGTGGCCTTAGCCGTTTACACGTTGGAGATGGTCGTAGCCTTTCATATATTGGAGAGCCTTTCATACATTAGAGATGGCCATAGGGAATGAGTATGCGCCGGGTACGTATTTGGTCACGTCCAGAATTTTGAAGGCGTACGGCACATTCTTTCAGCGTTTGCAGGCCGTTGCGATTGTTCTGACGGCGGGACGTTGGCGGATGGCTGAGAAACCGCTTTGCGGAGCTTGTCATAATGACGCTTGCCTTGGCAGAACCGAACCGTTTTACGGTTGGTCGTGCAGTTAATAATGGCTATTGGGTTTTGCGAAAGCCATTTATGTTGCCTATAAAGGTGGGTTGAGGCATTCATTTCTCATATCTTCATTGTTCATCTGAGAGAGATTCTGAGGAAACTTTTTCATTCTGCTAATTCATCTCCTCCTTTCTTTCCTTTTGATTGTGATAACCTTTGTCTTGCCCACCAAATTCTATCCCTCTCTCTTTAGTAGATCAACAATGGCAGGCAGTTCTTCCCACGATGCTCTTCCGATAGATTTTCCGATAGTTGAAGGGCCACCTCCGGCAATGGGAGGTGCAGAACAGATAGAGACTAGAGAAGTTCTGTCGGTTGACGAGGTAGTTCCTCGGCCCGGAGGTGTGGCGATTGATTTCACTGTCGACGGTGGAGAGGAACCGGTGGATGAAGCCCCGTTAATGGGGGAGATTGGGATGGCCCGATTACGGGAACATGGGGTCATTCCAACCCATGCAGACATAGTTCTCGCTAGAAGCAAGGAGAGGGTCCACACCGACCGCAGGGGATACTGCGTTTTTTACGCCTATCCTTTCAGGTTGGGGTTCAAGATCCGCTCCCAATGCTGGTGGTGGATTTCTGCCGTTATTACGGGGTGTGCCCGGGTCAGCTCACTCCTTCCCTCTACAAATTGTTGGCAATGTTTATCAAGTACGCGGAATTGGCCCGTAGGGAGGTCACGCTGCAGCATGTGCTTAGTCTCTACGCTCCCCAGAGAGTCCGTGGCACCATGATTCAGGCGTGCCCTCATGGGTCGAGAGGCCTGGTCATGAGATTGGATAACGAGGTCGACCCTCGCCCTTTCGAGCACTTCTTTTATATCAGGACCAGGCATCTGGTGGCGGATGCTACTGGGTTCCCAGAGGCTTGGAACCATGCACGTAAGTTCTTTAGTGGTTGAATTCCCTTTTCTTCCTCTCTTTACGATTTGCGATTATGAGCGTTAACTCGTGTCGTTTTTTGTAGCCGACAGGTCGCCGCCGGCCCCATTGTCTTGGATACGTGAGTGGGTCAAGGCCGTACTCCCCCATACGGTGGGGATACGCACATGGGCGTCTTTCTGGGAGAGGCATGGCCGTAGGCCTGTGGCAGGTAAAAAATTGATTTCTTCTTTTGTTCCGCTTTGTTTCAGCTCTATTCATCAACCTTGTTTTCCTGTGATTAGGGAGGGCACGCCGCGTCAGGGCCCCTCAGTTAGCCTTCCGTCGGCCTGGTGCAATTGCTCGGCTTACTGCAG